TAAAAAATAATAATTAATTTAAAATAGTGAAAAAAATATTTGTGATTAGATAATTCTTTAAAATGAATATATCATAATAGATAATTAATTTAAAAGAAATGGGTATTTTTAAAAAATAATAATTAATTTAAAATAGTGAAAAAAATATTTGTGATTAGATAATTCTTTAAAATGAATATATCATAATAGTGTTAAATTAAAGTAAAAAAAATTTTATTTATTTTAAAAAATAAAAAATAAAAAATAATTAATTTTTATTAAAATCTCCCTCTTTACCTTTTTCCATTATCAACACTCAAACTTTAATATTGAATTAAATTAGCTTTTTTAAATTTTGAATGAATTAAAGCTTTATTTGAGAATACTTTTCCATTACTTTAATTTTTGTTTTATTTTTTTATTATCTTAAAAATATATAAAATATTAATTAAAATAAGTATTAAATATATTTTATATATTGTTATGATATTAAAAAACCAAAAATCTACGGTTAACACTCCCAAACCAAGATTGATTACCTCTTCTGTTGTCACTTTTTGCTATTCCCATGGGTGGTGAGGTAATCCAACTTTCCTTTGCTGCTTTTGTTTCTACCCCGATTTCCATTAGCATTTGCCAAGGTTGCTGCAAGTCCGCAACTAGGGTCTCTTCCTTCATCAGGTCCTCCTACCCATCCCTCTTCACAACCACCATCGCAACCATCCCCAAGTTTGCCAAGGCAGTCACAACCTCCGCGTAGCTCGATGTGCAACTTATCCTGGCAGCAGGATGGCTCTTTTCACTATCCAGGCCATGTATTGAATGGTCTCACTTTTGTTGAGAGACTTCTTGCCCTCCGCTCCATCAATCCTTCTATGCTGATTTTACTCGTACTCAAGCTCCATTTTGTAATTGAGCCGAAGGGTTGGAAGGGTTGGATCAAGTAGTAAACAATTATCACTTTAAAAGTTAGATGAATTTCAAATATTGGGATTAACATTCGAAAAAATTAATTATTTTAAATATACCCTTTAGGGGTGTACTCTTAATTAAGATTACTTGAAAAATAATTAATTTTAAAATATGTAAAAATTGGATTAGAGGCACTCTAATTGTTCAAATTTTTTAAAAAAAATACTGTATACACTTGTATATTGAAATTTGTATTTCCTATAATTTTTTTAAAAAAAAATTCTAATCAATAAAAATATTTTAAAAAATTTATTAGGTGTTGAATTCTCAAACTTCGCCAGCTTTGGGATTAATTTCCATGGAAATAGAAAACAGAAATTTGAATTTCTCTAGCCGTCCCAATATTTGCAATGAAATTTCAGTCTTGACCACCCAACAAATAAAATTTTAGATAGCAATTTCCTCTTGAATCTTAGCAATATGATACACAAGAAAAGTAGCACCCATGTTTGATTAAAAACAAAAAACAAAACAAAACAAAAGAAAGTGTAGCACCCAAGAAAGCAGAAACAAAATTCATGAATGTCTTCAGAAATTGGTGTTAAGTTTCGCGTTTACTAAAATGATTAACTCTATGCCTGAAATGTTATTAAAGGTAGACTTGGAAGTTTTCAAATGGATAAGTCCCTTTTTTTTGTTTTTTTAATGTGGCAATTGGCGAATGATTTTTAATTTTGAATACTTTTAGATTTTAAATTATTTTTTGACACTTTTTGGTCCCTCAACTTTACATATTATATGTTTTTTTATCCTTTTGTTAGTTAGGTGATAATATGATTGATAACTCATTTAAAAATTTATTTTCTTTCAACTTGTTGATAACATGTCCATTATAAATGGTTCCCTTATGTTTGGGTTGAGAAGAGGGGAGGGGAAAAATTTTTTTTTATTTAATTATCAAAAGAATTGAAGAGAAATGGAGAAGAATGAAAGGATAAATTTCCCTTTCTTCTATTCTTGTCAACAAACATTAGCATTAAACAAAATATATGGCGTTAATATGGATAATTTTAGCTTAAATTGATAAAATGATTACTTAAAAAACTAAACTATCTACCAATTAAATTTTTTATAAATTAAAATATTAAAACTTACAAAATGACAAAAATATCCTTAAAATATTCTTCTTTCACCTCAGATTTTCTTCTTTCCAAAAACACGTTTTGGCCAGTATGAGTCCACGTGAACTAATTCAATGATGTGTAATTATCATATCATAAAAAAAAGTGATATTTTGAATTGAGTTAACTAATGAAAGAATGAAAAAAAAAAGAAGCAATTTATAGAGTTAATGGACTAAAAAAATATTGAAAATAGTTTAGAGACCAAAATATTAAAATAAAAAAAGTTTGGGGACTAAAGCTCGCATTTAATTTAGAAGCAGAGTAGTCTTCATTCAGGGTGCATGCATGGTTCTAATTTTGGGAGAAACTGTCAGGTAATGCATTACGATTTAGGAAGAATTTGGAGTCTTCGACCACGATATGTTGCCAAACTAGTCCAAGGAGGAAAAGTAAATTATCCCATTTGATATAATAATAGTCAATATTTTGTCTTCTCAAATTAAATTTGGTAGAAACTAAAAGAAAAGACTAGGAAACGAGGAAATGAGGAGGAAACTTTCTTCCCCATTTCCTTGTTGAAAAGGAAAGAGGAGGAAAAGGAGGTCATCATAGTTAATTCAACCTTTGCATCATATCAATAGTATGATCGTTCAGTGACAATTTAATATACATCATTGCAAAAATTTAGGTTGTTACTTATTTATGTTGGTTTGGAATGGTGAGAATGGGTCTAATGTTACTTACATATATCAATTGACATTTAGTTGATTCGTTTGAGCACATAAGATATGATAAAGATGGTTGAGATGAAAATTTTTTACAAATAAGATTTACATATAAATCTTATATAAAATTGTGAATTTTTTACTTTAATGTTACTCTATGTGTTTTAAAATATAAGTCATTTAACTTTTTTACACATAATTTTAAGTAATTTTTTTATAGTATATATAAATGACAAATGAGATTTTCATTTTTTATATATATGTAACTCTTATTGAGTAATTTTATTTGATTAAAAAAATTAACTATATAGTCTAATAATAGAATTATCTATGTTCTTAACCACATATTTGGAGTTTAACACCCAATCTCTATAAAGAAATATTTATATATCAAAAAAAATTTAACCATCATTCATATACTATGTAAAAAAACCTTACTTTAAAATTCGTTCCAAAAAGTTTAATTACTTTTTTTTTCAAACCTTTTGAGGTTTTTTTTTGTTTTTTTAACTAAAAATATAATTAACTTAAAAAAAAGAGAGATAAAAATGAATAAATATCAACCATTCCTAGTAGAGATGTAAACTATGGAAATTTTATACAATAATAATATATAATATTTATGTGTAAATTGAATCTAACTTAAAATCATTTTAGAGAGTTTATTTTTGAATTGAGATAATTTTTTTTATTAGGATAAGGAGAATACATGGAATGGGTTCCAACCGAAGTCTTTAATTGCATCTAGTTGGCTAACATATCACCTTGCATATGTCCTGCAATGCCACAATTTCAAATAAAATTAGAGTACAATTGTAGATGCTATAAAAGTTTAAAAATTAATTATTATTAATAATTTAAGTATAAATATTTGAAAATTAATAAACTTTAACTCAAAAAATTGTTTGGCGAGTACCATGCTTCAACCGAGGTTGCTCTCACGCCCATAAGGGCCATAACATTAGATGCCATTGTAGAATGAATGTGAGACTATTAGTTTGTGGAGAGATGAAAAAGGTGAGATCCAATCCTTCCATAAAGGAGGAGGCGAAGTAAAATCGAAAGAGGGCTATGGATTGTGGAATTTCCCTTTTTTTTTTTTAAACAAATAATTATTACACTCACATTTAAATATCTATTCTTAAAAAGGTAAAATGTTAACTATGAAATTCTTGCACTTATCATCCCCATTGGGTGATCTTCAACAAAGATTTGTTTAGATAAATGTTAGTAAAGGATAGTGAAAGATATGGGATAGAAAGTAAAGAGAGGGGAAGAGAAAGAGAAAGAGAGTAAAATATTAATATAACTTTATTTAGATAAATTGAAAAAAAGAGGCGAGGGAGGGGAAGATTATATATTTTTATTTAATTCAATAATTATAAAGTTAATTAAAATTTTATACATTTATATATTAAACTT